GCTTAAATTATTATTTTAAAGTTTTGATTTTGCTTTAAACATGTTTTATCTCTTCCACATCAAGGGAAGAAACTTAGTCTGCAACACAAATAGATTCCTGATGAGTAACTCACTATGACAGCATATAGCAAAGTCATAAAGACTCATGCTTCTTTGTTTAGGGGATCCGAGGATAAGATCTTGTTTTTACTCCACCAAAGCCTCTGCAGGATATTTTAAAGCAACCTGGAGAAAAACGATTTAGATAATCTGCAGTTTAAACTAGAAGAAAGATGCCCTCTCTATAATACAGAATGAAGGCATTAATAGGATTTTTTTTTTCTTTTCTTTCCAATGTATCAGTTATACTAAATGTTAGATGTCTTCAATATTTTAGTTTTTTTCTTCAGCCCTGTGTTTTGTCTGGTACACTTTGGCAATTTCTGCGGCAGATGAATAATGATCCGATTGTTTAGCAACGCCATCTTCAAAACTGTCAAAACATTGAGGAACCCAGAGGGCTTTTCTGGGCAGGACTGCATATTTCCCCTGAGCAGGAACTCCCCCTTCTTTGCGACGACTTTTAGCATCATGACTCCCCAGATGGGATTTTCAGTACTGTTACCAACTTCTAGCTAAAAAACACATTTCAACATTACCACCGAGATCATCATTAAGCTGCTCACACTGCCTGAACAGGAAACCTCACAAGTCCATTTTAAAAACACACAACTCTATTCCTCCCTTTAAGACTGTTTAAAACAGTTGTTACTTCAAGATGTTTCATAACTGCGTCCTCTCTGGCTGGTTCTGTTGGACCTCAGGACAGCATTTGACACTGGTAACCATGATATATTATTAAAGTGAAATGCGATGGACTGGCGACCTGTCCAGGGTGTATCCTGCCTCTTTCCCATGACAGAAAATGGATGGATCAATGGAAATCTCAAAATCAAAATTCTTATCTTTAATCTCAGAGATAAATGTCATATTACATTGGCAGGATTATCACTTTGATAAAGTAAGAATATTACAAGTAGTCATTATTTTCTGAGATAAAAATGGGAATCCTGAAAATAAAGTCAGAATTCTGAGATTAAGGTCAGAATTCTGGAAATAAATTCAGAATACTGAGATTAAAGCAAGGGCGTAGGTTTGATTTGAACTTTGGTAGGGACACTATTGGTCTGGTGTCATTGGTGCTATGCAATATGCATGCCCTTTTTTATGCTCGATGTGAGCATCCGTACTGATAATAGGAATTCATTGTTAAAAGAGAAAAGCAACATTTTGCTCCACTAATAAAAATGTTATAAGCTCTACACTCATTAGATGCTGTTTATCAATGTTTGAAGTATCACCGGCTCTGATCAATGTGGAATTAGGACTGTTTTCCACTTTGAAAACGGTTTGATTTGAACGACTAAGAGAGAAGGTAAATACAGTATTTTCTTCTGAAGATATAGAATTGTGCAGAGTTAAACCCCACTGTTATATTTGTACCTACTATTCTCTCTCTGTATCAAGCAAAATAATACAATCATTAAAATATTAACTTCACTATAAAAGTTGAACATCTGGGCTGTAGTTACTCTGTGTCGCCCATTTCATGTATTTCATCTGGGGCTGAAAAAAAATAATCATATTAATTGATTATTTCAATAATCGTCAACTAATTTAGTGAGTGATTCATCATTAACTGGAGAATAGAGACTCTAAAACATACAGTAATATAAATGTAAAATGTGCCTTTCCCCACAGAGCAACCCACTTAGATCAGTTATTATATCAAAATTGTAAAAATAAAAACAAAAAAATGAAAACAGTAATATCAACTAAATATCGGTAAAAAGGAAACCCTCACATTTTCTGTTTTAGGTGGCTGTGGCTAAGAATCAGAAATGTTGATGGCTTACAGCCTTTATTTGCCCATTTTTCCAGCAGTATTCAGAACTCCTGGCTGACTCAGAATATTTCGTTTTATAAAAGAAAAAAAAAAAGGTTTTTGTTCTTTAGTGAACATGATATTATTATTTTTTTTATCGGGACTAGTTTTGTAGCCTAATATTAATTGTAGTAACCGCTGCATTCTAGTGTGAATACATTTTCAATGTTGTGCTCCAAGCACACGCGGACTAGAAAACAGCCAATCAGAGAGAGAGAAGGCGGAACTTAAGGCAGAACAACCAATGAGAGTGGAGTTAAACAGCGCAGCACAGTTCCATGCGCTGCTACATGACAGGGACAGGAGAGACCAGGCAGAGGAGCTGCGAGAGGAAAAGAAGCCACTGCTGCAACAACTACTGCTGTAAATTATAAACATGTTGCTGACATCCAATTATTGGTCGGGACAATTAGGTCGGTTCAAAATTTTGGTAGGGACATGTCCCTATGGTCCCTATGCAAACCTACGCCCATGGATTAAAGTCCATATTCTGAAATTAAGGTTAGAATTTTAAGATTAAATTCAGAATTCCAAAAATAAAGTCATAATTCCAACATTAAGGTCAGATTTCTTTATATTAAAATCAGAATTCTGAAAATAAAGTAAAGTAAAAAATACTGAGATTTAAGTCAGAATTAAAATAAATCCAGAATACTGAGCTTAAGGTCAGAATTTTGAGATTTAAGTCAATTCTGAGATTAAGGTTAGAGTTTTTAGATTAATTCAGAAATCAATTGCTTTTCTAAATTTTGTGGCAGTTTTTTTCAATAGCCCTTCCCCAATTCTGTCATTTTTAATCCCCTTAGTGTTTTAAAAATAAATCAGTATCAGATTTATTTGCTAATATCTTGAAACTAGAAATTACTTAACTTTTGTGTGACTCCAATTCCAGATCCAGAAAAGTGATAATATGTTTTTTTGCCACATAAAAATAATTTCTAGCCAGACAACTATAGGTGTGATTTTCACATCTCTTGACTTTTGTTATTATGTTGTTATTATTCTGCCTTCATCTGTGATCAGGTGGTGCTGCTGTGGCCGCGTGGTTGTCCTAAAGCCTTCAGGTGCAGAGGTGTAGCCAGACATTTTTTTATAAGGGTGGACAGGCAATAACCAATGTACGCTGAGGGGGGGCTGAAAGCGGATAGGCTCCAGAACCTCAGGGTCAATCTACACTGTTCCAACATGAAAATTAATGAGCAAAACATCCATATTTTCTAAATAAAGACAAACTATGCTTTCCTACAGCCTTTGCTAACAAATAGACGCATATATTTATACATCTGTAATTTCTAGATAAAAGGTATAGTGGATAAAACTCAGTTTTCAGTTTTTGGTGTAAATCAATCATCATTCTCATTACTAACCTATTTGTATCAATAAACATTCTGCATAAAATGGATATTTACAAACACTAATATCTACATAAATTAATTATTTGATAAGTTTTTACTAAAATTGTTATTTATCTTTAATTTCACTAAAGACTCCTAGATGACTTGCAGAGACACATCATTTTCTCTTTACCCCATAAAAGACAAAATCTAGTTCTAAAAAGAGCATGAATTCTGTACTTATAATCTTGGATGTGAGTATATTGATGTGTATAATTAACCACAAAAAAATAAAAAGTTTGGAATAGTCCACTTGAGAATATTACTTCTGCCACCATCTGTATTAAGCCCGGCGTACACTGTGCGAATTTCTCGGCGATTTTCCAGTCGTGTATTTTCCGATCGGCCCGACTTTCAGCCTGACCTTGCGTTGGGAGTTGTGTAGTGTACAGGGGGTTATGAACGGAGATCAACCTCCCACGACCACCTTCTCATCAGGAATCTTGAGGTTGCCCGACCGTTGTGGGCAAATCGCTCAGTGCCATTTGCAAACAAGGATTCTTCTTTTTATTCCTCCTCTCAGATGTAATCACAGAAGCATGGTAGGGATGCAATGAGTGAAATGCAGTTCTGTCTGTAAAATTGATGGACCGCAGCAGCCACATTTGCTAACCATGTCGCCCTTTCTTTCTAGGACCCTCAGCACAAAATTTAACAAATTGCCAAGGCAGCACAGTTCACTACATTGGGCTTAATATTCCCATTCTATTTGTTTGGCTTCAGAATAGAGAGCTACAGAACAGCTCCATCTCACTGCGGAGCTGAGTCCAACGTGGTTTTTGGTCGCACAGTGTGAGCATGTAGATTAAGCCTTTATATGTCCCTCAGTGAGGTCTAGAAGCACAAGATCTACATCGAACCATTCAGCAAAGATACTGCTACATGACTATACATTTTATTTTGGCATTTTACCAATTAGATGAGCCCTTGAATGATATATTACCTACTGTAAATTAAGTAGGAAAAAAGAATAACAAGTCAAGAAAAAAAGGTAAAAAGCTAATTGAAAAGTTAGAAAGTAAAGTTAAAGGGTTAATAAACCTCTAAGGTTATGTTGTACCTAAAAACGTGTTTCTTTCACTCTCAGAGTGTTTTTCATGAATTTATTATAGAAGCAATTTTGTTTTTTTTCTGAATATATTTGGGCACTATATTTGACATACATTTTTGCCATCAAAATATCCATATTTCTTTTAAATTTTACAAAGATAATAAGGTCTTGTCCTGGATTTCAATAACACACTACAATAAATTATCTAAAAATTAGTGAAAATGTCTTAAAATACGTGTATTTACCCTTACTTTGAGTAGGTAAATAAGAAAATCTCCCTGTGGAAGGAACATTTTTTAATCCTTAAAATCTGATTATTTGATATTATGCACTTGAAATAGGAGACTACACTTTTCCCCTTATATATATATGTTCTTATTCCATTTGCAAAGTGTCTCACTTACCTGCTCAATTCAAGAAAAAATGCACTTACTTTAAGAGAAACTTCATTTAGATATTTAAAGTCTTTTATTGAGTGCCCTACAAAGGGTTAAGAAATTATTGGCTAAGGGCTAAACCCCTGGCCTCCCATAGCTCCGCCCCTGTTCAGGTGGACTTGTCCTCGCTGTCCCCCCAGGAGTTTCCACCTCTGCCTGTCTAGATAGCAAAAATATTCATGTTAAGTTTTTTTTTGTTTTATAATAAGAATAGCTTACCTAAACCCTAATTCCCGTCTGTAGTGTACCTGTAAGATGACGTCACTTCTCTCACTTCAGTAAAGTTAGAAAGATATTCCTTCTCTCCCACATCTACCCTCAGCTTCCAGCGGGATTGGATAACGGTGGCGTTTGGGTGTGGTGGAGGTTTATAAATACAGGCATTCTGACTAAGCTTTGTTGTTCCAGCAACATTATAACGGTCCGGGTTTTGGCAGACGGTCAGACTTTGCCTTCGGTGCAGTTTTTCACCTTTTTCTACACTTTTTTCCGCCAAAGATGAACAGAATTACTCTGATTCTCGCTGTTTCTGGACTCTGCTTTGCAGTCGGTAAGAAAGTTTATTTTATTAATGTATTATTTTTTTTTTGATTAAATTAGATATATTTATTGTTTTAGAGATATACAAATAATAAACTTTCTAATGATTATTTTACCTTAAAAATCGTTGACTTTCTTAATAAACTTTTTTTCAGGACTTTTTTATAATTGTATATAAAGTCTGTTATTAAATATAGTAACCATCTTTAGTCCTATTGAGCATTTTCTCAGATTCTTAACTTCATTTTGGACGATTTGTTTTACCTCTATGTTTGCAGGTTTCCCCAAACGGTTTTAAGTTTCAGGATGTGAGCTGACTGGGTGTGTTCAGATTATTTTTTAAGGCTGAACTCATAAGCAAGCAAAAAAGGGTTTCCCCGAGGTTTAAATATTAAAACTATCTTGGCAAAGTTGTTCTAATACCAATATGTAACTAACATTCAATGACTATCTGGTTTAATTAAGTTAATCAATTAAGTATAATCAAGTAGATCTTTTCATTTGGATGTTGCAAATGAAAAGAATTGTGACGAATTGCAGAGTGATGGAAAAAAAATGGCTTCATAAAGTATTAAATCTTTTTTTTTTTTTTTACCACAAAATCAAAAAATCAATAAAAAAACAAACAAAACCCAAATGGGATGATGTATTAAAGGTGGTCTTTTTGTTTCACATCTGGTGACTTTGGAGGCCATTGGATACTCAAGGAAAAAACTGGATAAGATTTATGCCTTGTATGATTCACTATCCTGCTGCATGCAAGCTTGTCAACAGACCATGGGTACACTGGAGATAAAAGGATTAGACTTTGTCGACATCAGTGATGCCAGCCTGAACCACTGACCAAAACCAGGATAGATTCATGCTGTCTGTTGTTTAAGCTTAAATTAGACCCTTTTAGACAAGTATTAGACAATGCAATTTACTGTCTTAACTTGCTTTTCTGTAAAAATCCCGGATCAACAGTCTTTAATACTCACTCCAGCCTATCAGGCACCAACAACTATTCGTCATTCTTAATTACTCCTTCTTCCCAATGCTGATGCTGTACTTACTAAACTTAAACAAGTTACCTTCACCAGCTCTTGATGCATAAATGCACTTAGCTGCTGCCATATGATCAGTTTTGTTATTATATGCATTAACAAGTTGTTAAATAAAGTAGATATGTTTTCACTGAAGGTAAAGTAAATGTATATACGGTAACTGATAGGAGGAAATGGAGATTTAGTAGTGTCAGGGCCTTAGGGAAGAAACAGTTGACACATTCCAGTTAACTCTGATGAAGTGTTTCAGGGTGATAAACAACATCAGGGAAGGGAGGGAGGAATTTTCAGTTAGTCCTCTGGCATTACTGAAAAACAAGCTGCCTTTCCTGAGAAAGTCCACACACCATGTATTTATTGATATTTTTATGTATGTATTATATGATATTTTGGAGAAAACTGCATGACACCTTAATTCCAGCAGGTGGTGGAATATGATGAACAACTGGCTTTACTCCCGGTGAAAAAGCAGGTAACAGAATATTTAATCCTTGAACCTGAAAGACAGTAAACCATTAGTATACATATTGGGGAAATTTATTATTGCTCTTCATTAGGAGTTCTTTATATTTTGATTGGGATTTCGTTTTATCCTCTTTTTGTTGACTTCAACAAGTGATGGCCAGGATCTTTCTTTTTTGCCACTCTTCTTTGGATCAGAAACAAAAAAGTTTATAAAAGTCTGTTCTTAATCATGCAAATGTATCATTGAGGTCAATCCAATATGAAAAAGGTTGCACAACTTTTATGAAGGGATATAAGAACATTCCCACAATACATCACCATTGTTATTACAAAATAAACAAAAAAGCAGGAAACAACTTTGATGAGCAATGCCAATGACCAATGTCAGTGCTTTTTATTTTTGACCCTTTTTCCATGCCTTTGTCAAATCAGATTTTCTTATTAAACTATTAAACATTGATTGTTTATGTAAAAAAACAAAACAACACTAGATGGAAAACATGTTTTTATATAAATGTTTTGGGTTTTCTGCCAACATTCTTACCCTTGTGCAGTAATAATGCAATAAAAAGACAACTTTGGCATTCAATTTAGTTTTTGCTGCTTATGTCATTATTTTTTTTGGAGACACAGAATACACTGAAGATAATTATAAAACTTAAAGTTAAACCAATGATTTTTTGTTACCTGCCAGCAATGACAGTGCAAGGTTTAAACACCTTTTAGATGGGACAAATACGCTATGATTGTAAACCAAAATATCTGGCTTAAAGTTGTGACTGAGTGAATAAATTCACGGAAATGTTGTTTAGTTACCAAGGACAACCCACCAGTATTAATGGTTGAGATTAACTTAAAATGACATAAACTACAAACATTAAGTTGATTTGGGATAAAAAACTAGCAATTTTTTTTTGCAGAACCCACTCATGGAAATGCAGTGAAATAAAACTATGATGACAAATACACAAAAAAAAATTAATAATAAAGGGAACAGATTAATGTTGACTAGCATGAGATTAATGACTTTTTATTAGAGATGCCACAACTGCAACTTTTTAAAATTTCTGATATGATACTGATATTGCAACTTTGAGCACTTACCGTAAACGATATTGCCGCAATACAAAATCACCATGAATCATAAATACTTTTCTTTATTTATTTTTTAGTGTGGAATAATAGAAAGGGATATTTCTCGTTCAGAGAACAATACTTGACAGCATCAGGTATTGGAACAGTTGACCCATTTCTTATTCACCTAAAAGTTATATCAACTTTAAACAAAAGCAGAAAGAGGCAAAGCATTTTTATGACTCTTATAATATATAAGATTTTAGAGGCAGGCCGATATGTTCTGATGTTTATCTTTTGTCTGATATCGAACCAATTTTCTATATCAATATTGAATCGGGGCATCTCTATTTTTTGCTGAGGCTTGCTCCTTTTCCCACACATTATACTGTATATTGGTTTAGGGCTGAAACTATTAATCGGATTAATCATGATTAATTGATTTTTTAAATAATTGTCAACTAATTTAGTTATCGATTAAATGTTAACTGGAGTGTAGAGACTGTAAAATATGCCTTTAGCTGACAGAGTGACAAACTTAGATCAGTAATTATACAAAATTGTAATAAATAAATAATAATATGTAGCATTTAAGATAAAAAAAAAGTTTTTCATCTGTCAATATGCTCCAATCAGAACTCCTCAAGTGGAAAGGTTTGAGTTTTATTTTGTAAAAACTCTTCTTTAAGGAATCTTTGGCAATTAATTTGACTAAAGGTGGTTACTATATTTAATCATCTTTGGTTATCCAATTATAAATAATTGAATTAAAAAAATAATCGACAGATTAATCGATTTCAAAATAAAAATCGTTAGTTGCAGCCCTATATTGGTTGCATGTATTTGGTTAACTGAAGTTGTAACCTGTGTGAAAACATTTTACAAAAATATATTAAAACATTTTAGCTTTACTTTTTGTTTTTGATCCCAGAATTAATTAATATCAAGGCTATAAAAGTGAAACTTTAACCATTCACTGACCGCTTATGTAGCAAGTAACAGATGGCAGGCTTGTAAAACACTTATTAATCCAAATTCTAATCTAGACAGTAGTCAAATAAATCTATCAGGTATTAGTGTGTTAAAGTGTTTATTATATGAAATTATAACTTGTCTCAATAAATTGAATAAAACATCTGTAATTTTAATTAGAACCTCAGATTATCCTCTCATAATAATTAAATTAAACAGATTTTTATATTTCACGGATGATTCAACAGATTGATGAAGCTAAAGGCTTTGAAGCTTTTACTACCTGTTTACTACAGGCTTTATGTTAATACTGTTATTGCAGGATTGGGTGAGGCTGGGTGTTTGTGGTAATGGGCCTGCTGTAGGATTTTTCCACACTCTTTAAAAAGAGTGAATCATGTTACAGCTTGCAAGCTTCATCCTGAGAATTCAGGCACCTTGTAAAAGTTGTCCTTTCAAATGTCTCCAGTTTCTCCAATTATTCATTAGTCCAATTTCACACGTTTGTCATCTTTCCATTGTGATTTGGGGCCTCTTTTTTCTTTTGTCCTTTTGATTTTTTCAACAGTCTTGCTTAGTTCTCCTATTTCAGACCACACCACTAGAATAGACACATATTCTAACGTTTTTCTACTTTTTTATCTCCAGGTTATAACAGACTTCATTCTTACATTGCTTATCTGGAATATGTATTTGGTGACAGAAGCAGATAATGATGTATGAAGTGATAGAGGGGGTCAGTAGGGATGAGTAAGTTCAGTAAGGGGATGAGGTCAGACTTTGGTCTGATTTGCTACAGAAATCATCATGTCACAAGATACTGAAAGGTTTCCCTAAGCAGTGAGTGCTGGAAAAACCTCAGAGTCAGTGTTGGGCAGTTAAAAGATATGCTTTTTAACATAGGAAGAGGAAAACACAGTTGCAGTTGAAGTTTCTTAAAATAATTTAGTCTAAGCTTATAAATCATTTTCGGACCTTTACCACCACTAAAGTTGTATAGATCGTACACAAATGATCTAAGTATACATAGATCTAATACATTTAAAGTTCCTCTTATTTAGTCAGTTTTGAAACCTACTGATATTTGGAAATATTCATATGTTCTCCAACCTTGACAAAAACCTCAATTCCACCTAAAGTAGAATAACACAGGTATAATGGTGTTCTTATCATGGGCATGTTGTTGTTTTTGTTGATAGACAAGGCTGTTTCTCTGTAAACACATGACGTCTTACATGATTTTAGAATATGTCATCTAATCCTGGGTGTTTTCTTTGCAGTTTTTTTTTTAAATACTTTATTATACAATCTAAAAATATATAAAAACCTGCAGAATACTTAAGTATTCTTAACCTAGCTTTAACTTTTTTTATGCAGTTAGCTCATTTTGAGCATTAAGAGATATGAACTTCATATGAGGCTGATGAAATTCCTCATGATTCATGGAAGGAGT